ATATCTAATCATTGATAGGATTGTGTCCCTAACATCATTTCAGTCTTGTTTTGTTTTTAATTTTGCTTGTTTCACTTGCGCTTAAACTCTTAAGGGAGCAATCCCATTGCAATCTTTATAAGCATCTGAACCTGGAGGCTTAGGGGCCTCATATGTGGATAGTGAGGAGGATGGGACTTGTTTTCATCTCTCCATCCTCCCACCCTGCATTTGTTGCAAGATGGGCTTCTTCACTCAACTAGCAGAGCCATCTTGCAGGGGCAGGGGAGTCAGGAAAGGCTTCAGGATACCCCCTAACCAGTCTCCCCTCCTCTGTGCCTACCAAAACACCCCCTTTTACCCCCCCCCCAAGGTTGCTTTCCCAGACTCAGAAGCCAGCATGGGCTCCCACTCTGAAGTCAAAGCTCAGGCCCTGACCTTGGCACTGGGAAACCAAAGTCTTAAAATGCTGCCTAATTTATATCAGTCAGCGTAGGCCTAGTGTTTGGAGCAGTAGCGTATTTGGTTAGTTAGAATGCTGGCTTTGGGTTTTTTATGTGGAGGAATAAAAGAGAGGAGAGGAGAGGAGAGGCTGTGCCAGGCATAATGAAGTGTGATATATTTCTATATGAGACTCACATATAGTGAACGGCCAGTTATAAGTTACACGCACACATTTGTTACCAATCACTACCTTCTTCTTTAATACAGAAAGCATTCCAAAAACTTCACCTCTGACTTTTTTATCCTTTACATTTGGGGACTTCCAGACAAGGGTATTATTATGCAATTGCACTGTGCCCCTCATGGAATTTTACAGAGCATCTAGACATGTTTTCTTCAATGTGTCAGTCTGTGTTTCTCCAGCACTTCTTCCAGCTTTTTCATTACAGAAGTGACCATTCAAAAGAAATGACAGAATAGCTGCACGGTGTCTTTTGACTGGTGATTCTATGAATCTTCTCTGGTAAGTTCTCCTATTAGAATAAAAGATTTATACATGCAATATCATAAACCTATTCTAAATTCATAATTTTAAATTCAATTTATTATCTTTGAACAACTACAATGTTACTTTAACTATTAGAACAACACAATCTTAATAATGAGAGCTCCAAAATATGAAAAGTACAATATAGAAAAACAATCCTGAATATTGTGAGGATAAGATTGGGTGGGGGAGGGAGGAAATTATATAAAGCACCTTGAGGTCCTTGATAGAAAAAAAAGTAGGATATAGATATAATAAATAAATATCAACATTGTATGCAACTTCCCATAATCCACTTAAAGGCTGTATTAAATCAAATTTGGATGTCTGCTCTTTTCCATCTTTCAGGCTTACAGTATCACTTAAGTGTTATTTGCCAGACATTATTTATTCACACATTATAAGCTGGAATGTTAGGATTTGGGTAATTCTTACCAATTACAAGCTTAGGAGCACTTAAGAAATTAGGGTCTGCTGCATGATTTAAATATGTTTAAATATATAAGTTCTAACGGCATTATTTTAGGTTCCAATGAGAACATCATATCCAACAATTCTTTGGTTAGTTCTTTTAATCTGAATTCAAAATGCTTTAATGCTAGGACTAAACCACAGTATGTGCATCTGGTCTGCTACTAATAATCCCCATTTCCAAAACATCTGTGTGCATTATAAATATCTTTTCATTTTTTAGTACTAAATACAAGCAATATTAGGGATGCAGATGGCGCAGTGGTTTAAACTACTGAGCTGCTGTGCTGAGTGATCGAAGGTCGCAGGATTGAATCTGCACAACAGGGTGAGTTCCAGTTGCTCCGTCCCAGCTCCTGCCAACCTTGCAGTTCGAAAGTATGCAAATGCAAGTAGATAAAAAGGTACCACTTCAGTGGGAAGGCAACAGCATTCCATGCACCTCGGTGTTTAGTCATGCCAGCCACATGACCACAGAGACTGTCTGCAGAAAAACGTTGGCTCCCTTGGCTAGGAAACGGAGATGAGCACCGCCCCCTAGAGTCAGCCATGACTGGACTTGACGTCAAGGGGAAACCTTTACCTTTATCTTTACCTTTACAAGCAATATTAATTTGTTTAAAAATTCCTTCAAAATACCACACAGTTTTCCTGAAAAAGCTAATTTGCATTCATTCTTATTAATTTGTCATACAACTCATCTTCTCATAATGAATGTTTTAATATAGATCCATAGCAGATACATTTTTGATAGGAAACTCTTAGAATATGCAGCTGTCATTAATCATTTTTAGACGGTGTACAGTGAGTTATGAGAAGTCATCCCAGAATGATGCATCTGGGAACATATGACAAGAAAGAGGAAGGGCCCTTGCTTTACTTTCTTTCATGTCACGGTTTCTTGGACATATCACACCCTAGCATGGGTATGGGAAAGTTCCAGAATATGCATTTGGGAAGTGCAACACCTTCACGCACTTTGGGGGTTAGCCCTAACTATCTTTTCCACTAATGTTCGCAATTGCTGTGGCCTGGGATTTCTAATTTACTTAAATAATGGTCATCAGAGATTTGGGGTTCCAGTCCAAGTCTTTGTCCCTCTTTTAAAGTGAACTGCTAGGATTGACACTCCACTGCTTTGCTGAAGGAGAAGCCTCCAAGAGCTGCACATCGTTTTAGAAAATGACTTTTGTTGCCTTATGGAGCCAAGCCACACTGTGACAACAAATGGGTGCAGTGACTTAACAGCACATTTCTAGAGCAGGAAAGAAAATGTTATTTTTAGCTATAAATAGTTTATTGCTGGGAAACAAGTTGGGAGGGATCAGTGTTCCCTGTGCAGGACATGGTGCTTTTAGCACTGGAGCAGCACAGTGCCTGTTCCACTAGAGGGGAAAGATTGATGAGTGGGACTTGGTGTATCTGGGAACCTGATCTTACATTAATGAGAGCACCACTCTGCGACTGCCAAGTGCCTCCTGTCGAGGAGGAGCTGACAGAAGGCCAGGTGGCGGAGCAGAGCGCATTCCAAACAGGCCGATTTGCATTGTTAGAACAATGCAAACCTGAATGATCTTATGCTTAGTCAGGCTGGAGGGTTTGCTTCGTTTTGTGCATGTACGCCTGTGTGAAGATGGAAAAGTCTTGACTCGTTCACTCATTGAATTAAATGTATACATATAGGCAATTGCTGCTGGAGTACTAAGATATAACTGTTTAAATCAGGTGCTGTGGAAAGAAGCCCTCATCTTTTCCGCAATTCATAACCCATCCAGACTTGCCACATGTCTGTGTTTGGCAATAAACATTCAAACTTGGGCAATACTTCCATCTATTAGAGTCTATTGGCTAGTGTCAAGGCAGAGGACGGGAGTCTACAAATGTCTGTAAAATCTAATGTACAAGGACGCTGCCACCACGACCAACATTTGTATTAGCTCCTTTTCAGGAAGGGCAGCAGCTCAATGGAAGAGCACCAGTTTCACACACAGAACATCTAAATCTATGCAAGTGATGGCATCCTTTGAAAGAGACCATTCTTGGACATGCATTGTATTCAGACTGCTACTACCTTTGTTCCTCCATTGTGTTCATTTAAAAAATCATCGCCACATTATTCAGAGAAGACTATCAGCATGAGAGAAGGGTGTTAAGCCATTATGCAGGGATGGGGCTCCTACAGCCAGGGGGCCACAGGCAAGCCCACACCTAGTTCCATGCCAGCCTTGGCTCACCTTTCAAATCCTGCTCTCTTTTTGTTCTGAATGGGCTATTACTGGAGTTTGAATGTAAATGTTCCCCACAGTATGCAGTACACAGAAAATTTTCTGTGCATTACACAACTCTGGAGACTCATCTCTTCTGATGGAAGCAGTCTTGCACAAGCTGAGAACCAAGTCCAGGTTGTCCAGGTCTTCTAGCCCTGCTTGTAGAACTGTGAAGTAGTCCATGGATACAATGGACAATGCATGTCAATCCATTGTGACAACCTGGCAATAAGTCACAATGGATTGGCTGCTGTGTAGATAGCAGACATCAGGCTTACTGTGGGTTGTCCTCCCTTCCTTTCCTCCTGATGCTCCTGTAGTATCCCAGGTGACACTACAGGACCAACTTGTCTCGTTCTTCCTGCCATGACTGCAAGCTGTTCTTGGCTTTCAGCAGCTTTTTGGTCCTCCTTGTCACTCTTGCCAAGTTTTCCCACGTAATCAGCTAGCTATTAAACTCAGCTCATTTTAAAATGGCTAAACAGGGCTCAACAGGCCTTCCCATGGTGAAGGTCACCTGTACCTGTTAAGAACCATGGGAGGCCCTGTCAAGGAACCCCTTTTAAAGGAAGATGACATTTTTGAAAGTTAACAGTCAAAGGTTAGTACCTTCAAAAAGGGGGCGGCTCGCATTTTTCCCTTGTTCCCAAATATTGTACGTCAAATCTCAGGAGATTACCTTGGCCTTATAGGTAAATCGAAGTATCTAGATCAGGAATGCTGGCTCTCTCTCAGCCACAGGGTGGAATTCCATTCTGGAGAACCTCTGGGGGACTACCTGCTGGTCACTACTCCAGTGGCTGGTCAGGTAGAAGGCAAAAGAGGAAGCCAAAGTGGTCCAGTGACTCTCCTGCAGCCTCACACATCTATCAGGGGAGTTCTTGAGAGGCTCAAATGGGTGCACTTGGAGGAAGGGTGAGATAGAAATGCCGTGAGGAATGGAGTGGGAAAAACGACGAATGAGGAGACCATTCTGAGGAAGTTGCAAACTTCACTGGGAAGTAACAAGTTTCACTGGTTTCCCTGGGCCAAGCTTACCTCCACATGCATATACATAGTGTCTGCGCCCATGAATGCGATTCATACATACTTCAAGTGTTACTCTCGAATGTAATCACAAGCATTCATGGCTCTCTGCCCGCCAGCTGGAGCAACCGAGGGGAGGGGAGGGGGAGGCTCTTTTTCCTTTTTTTGCAACGCCGGAGCATTGTGGGCCGACTTTCCCCCTGCAGCGAGGGAGCGAGGAGGCTCCTCAACTCTGCCGAGCGAGCGAGCGACGCCCACTCCTCAAGCCTTTCGCCGGACTCCGGAGCGCGGCGGCCGCAGGAGGAGAGCCGCAGCCCCGCCGCCAGGCGCCGCGGCGGGACGCGGCAGCCAGGGAGGCTTGATGGGCTCGCTCCAGCCGCAGCCGCAGCCGCGGGCCCCAGGTAAAGAAACTTGCCTGCTTTATGTTGCCTTCGCCGCCGCCGCTGGACCTGGAAGCCAGGCGACGTGCTCTGCTGCGTCGCCTTGGGATTCATGGCGAATCAATGGGACCTCGATCGCCATTCCCTGGGCTGGCTCTCCAGAGGATCGGGGGCGGGCGGGGAGGGATGCTCCTTGATCACTTAGGACTGGGAGTGACCCGGTAGCAGGGATGCGGATGGGAAGCAGAGGGGAAGATTCAGAAGTGGGTGGTAGAAGTGGCGGAGGGAGGGGCGGACGATCCCGATGGCGGGACTGAATCTGCGCAGACACGGAACGCGGCTCCGAACCGATTTAGTCGGGAAACGCGAACTAAGCAGCCTTTCTAGTAAAGGAGGCATCATGACGATGGTTACGGCGGCTCTGTCTCTTCTCCCGGGGCAGACAGCGCCTTGGTAGCTAGGTGCCTGCTTGCCTGCCCGCCCGCCCGGGGAGGCTGCCCCCTACAGGATTCTGTGCGAAGGGAATCTGCTCCTGCCCTCCGAGAAACCAAGGACAGGAGGAAGCCGAACCCTCTCCAAACGCGTCTTTATGCCTCTGCGACGGGAAGCCGGTCATAGCTGTCACTTGCCCAGCGCAGCGCCCCTCTAGTCGTCAAGCTCACTTCGGCGGTCCACTAAATTTGCTGCTGGAAGTCGCCTGTCCAGCCCGCTTGGCACGGCTCGTTAGTTTGAGCTGGTCGGCAGCGACTCAGATCGGTGACCTGTGAAACGGTAAGGCAGGAGGAGAGAGTGCCCCAGAACTTGTACAGAGTGCCTTTACTCTTTGCGAGCCCTGTTGAAGATTTGCATCTTAAAGCTGCCCGATTGTCCGGGTGGGGGAGGGGAGTATGGCAGGTTCCGCTGGATTTTTTTACACATGTGTAAAAGGGACACAGACACTTTGCCCAGGCAATTCTGCGTTGGGAAATCGCTGTGGGCAGGAGCTGAAAGAGCACTGGATGCAGCTGTTTCGAGGGATTTGAGTTTACAGCTCATGATTTCATTTCTGGTATCTCAGGGGCTATTTGCAATTAACGTTCCCTTACCGAAATTGCTCCGTTTCCTGCATTAACAATGCATTTTAATAAATAGTTCTGGAATAGATCATTGGCCACAATCTGGGATAGTAAACTCCTAGGCAGAGCTTCAGCTGAAGGTCAGGCACTGCTCCTAGACTCCCCAGTTCAACCTACCCCTGGGTTGGCTAGTTGCTTTATTTGACTATGTTCCTATAAAGAGCAGGCAGATGCAAAGGGGCACTCACAATCCCCTTTCTGCTCATTTTGATTCTTCTGCTGAAAACCAAAGAATTGCTTTCCTTTATCCAGGGGTAAGCAGTCCAAGTGCACTCTCGACACTTTAGCACATGGCTCCCACAGTTCCTGAGTACTGGCCATGCTGGTTGGAGTTTATGGGACTGGAACCCAGAACATCTGGATTGCCAACCAGTGCTTTAATCCAATATATTCAGATATAGTGGGAGTGATCATAACAAGTTTTATTGATTATAAGTGACTACTTCACAGCATCTCACAATTCTCTACCCTCATAATGGACAGAGAATCTGGGGGACCACTTTATACAATTTATCCAATGGGCAGATAAATTCTCCAAAGTTTTTCATGTAAGAGGTTCACATTTAGGATCTTTCCAACCCTGCTAAGGTGTGCTTGTTGGTTAGTTTTGCTGCTACTGCATGAGGTGACAACAGTTTCACAGCCTGCCACCACTTTTCATCCACCATAATGCCCTGGAATGAACACCATTCTGTACATTATGATGGAGAGAAAGGTAATCTCCAGGGGTGGGGGGATGCTGGCAATATTTGGAAAAATTCCACAAAATGCCCTCTTTTTAAGAATAATCTCAGATATTTTCTTAGAGAAATCCCTTGTGATAAATTTCAGCTCAGCTCCAGATTGGATAACAAAGTTGGCACAATTTTAAGGAATAAAATAGGACAAGGGGAAGAGATGTTCTGAAATACAGCGCTGCAGCATAGCTCTATTTTCCCACTTCTTATTCTTTTGAAGAGCTGCATGAAGTATCATGCAGTTACATATTTTACCTGCCATGATGTATTTTTGTGTCTTGTCAGTGACAACATAGAAACTGTCCAGCAGGTGTCCATGAAAGTCACACAACAGCTCAAAGCATCAGTGGTGGTCATAGGAGGGAAAAATCACATCCACCGTAATCTTGTTTCTCCTGCTTATGTTAGTGGACAGGCAAACCAGGCATGGATAGTTGAATATGACACACAAACCCTGGATTATAGTTTCCTGAATCCTAGTTTTAAAATGGCTTATAATCTTGGTTTGTTTGGCCATAATAAACCATGATCCAGGTTAGTTGCCATGCTAAGCTTTCCATATCTGGTTTATTTTCCCTTAATGTAGGAGGAGGTACATCAGGTTTTCAGATGCCTGCAGGCACTCATTTTTTATTTTATTCATTGTTTTAAGAAACATACAATAGGGACTTGACTTGCTTCTCCCAAAATACAGCATTCCAAGGTGATTACCTTAGAGTCTTAATCTGAACTGAAATTGGAATTCCCATTTTTGGTTCTGAGGAAAATACTGTTGGACAGGCAGAGTCAGAGAAGGCTGGATGTAACCTGATCAGTCCTGCAGTTGGACATCAGATCAAATGAGCAAAGAGTCATTCTAGTCATTTGAGGGAGCAGTCGAACCCTCTGGTTGGTTCACAATGGAGATGAGAGATTCCTTTAGAATCAACTTCTTAGCAGGAGTGGCATTTCTGTAATTAGCTGGCTTCCCAATCTCTGCAATACTCCTGTCCCACAAGGCTGTTGCAGCTGGCCTACTTTAAAATAATACAGACTGGAGTTAGAAGCCGCTGGCTTGGAAGGAGAAAGTTCAGGAAGACTTGCTGCCAATACATACATGGATTTGTATGCAATGCATACAATGTTCTAGCAATTACACACAGGCTTCAACTAAAGCACAACAGATAGCTAAATACCAGACCAATGCTGTGGATCCCAGACAGCATCTAGGGGACCATATGATTCTTCAGATTCCTGGATCCAAGATCAGAAAATAATTCTGACTTCAGACCTGGGGAACCACACTGAGGTCACCCCATCTAGGACAGCTTCTTCTCCCAGGTGTAAGAACAACCTGGAGGAAAGTAGAAAGAAGGTGGGAGAGGGAAGAAAACTGGGGTTACTGGAAAATATATCCTAGCAATTTTCTGGCCTCCTTTGCTCCCAATTTGAAATGCCAGAGATAAACAGCACAGCAAATCCTTTTACCCTTCAAGGTGTTAATTTAAAAGAGCGTGTACATCAGTGCATATTTAAGACTGTTCTGTTTTTTTTTTAAAAATCTGAGCAATAATCTCCTTTCCAAAAGAAGTAACTACTGAATATTGCCAAAACGTATATTTAAAAGAAGCAATATTGCACTACCAGCAATTAACTGAATTATTAAAGACATTGTTTTATTAAAGAGATTTTGCAGTGTCCAGCAGACACACAACCAAGGTTTTTGCAGAATAAGAAACAGTCTAAGATCCATAGGTGGATTGGGAAGATGCCAAAGCACTGATCCACTGCTTAGACATTTTTTTTGGTGGTGCCTGCAGCACTTTCTTAAATTCCAAATGTGCCCATAGGACCAAAGGTTTAGGGATCCCCTGAGTTAAGTGGTAGTGAATGAGCTGCTTCTACCAGAACAAAGATGGTTTGCATTATGGTTTAATGAGCCAGGATTCCTAGCTTAAGGTAACATGTCAACCTAGCCAATATGGTCCCCACAGTAACAGCTCTATGTCATTTCCTTCTCATGCCTTTCAGTAACATTTAGTTATAAACAACTGATGATACTGCATGAGTGCATTTCAGTTTCTTTTTTTAAAATAATTTTTATTATTTTTTCTAGAAACTAACATTAAAAACATCAATCATTTAAGATATCAAACATACTGGGTCAGCATCTCACTCTTTTTAAAATTCCTTAACCATATTCAAGTCTACGCATAGTCCCGTTTCTCTAGCCAATAGTAAAAGAAGTTCCAAAATTGATAGAAATATGTATCCTCCTTCTCCTTCAGAGACAAGGTCAATCTGTCCATTTCTGTGCAGTCCAAAATCTTTTTTAAGATCAGTTCTTCAGTAGGTGGCTCTTCACTCCTCCAATGTTGGGCAAATACAATCCTCGCCGCGAGTGCATTTCAGTTTCTGTAGAAAATGACAAGCAATGAATTACTGAGGTGGGGGCTCTTAAAGGTTGATACACAATGAATTTTGCAATATAGGATATTTTGGAAATAAGGAAAGGGTAGGTGGTACCACTGGTTTTGATGGCAGCAATGCATTGCCAGTAATGTGATCTGCCTGGGATGACCGGAATATAATGACCTGGTTTGAAAAGTGTTGAGAACAAATATTGATTGGGCCCAATGAGAAGCAATGCTTGGAGGTTGGGAGAACAAACATGAGAATGGTATGTAGAGCTATTAAGAGAGGGCTGCCTTCTGTAAAATCCAAACTCTCAACACACCATTTTTTGAAACAATACCACTGGATTGAGACTTATTCATGCTTAGAATAGTTTTATGGAAATGAATGAAACTTGAGTCCCATTGATTTCACTGGGTCTGCTCTGAGTTTGTCTAAGACACAGTCCAATACATAGTTCACAGTATGAACAGTGCAGTATGAAATCTACATGGATATGTATGAATAAAGAGTACTGTTTTCATTGTCCTTTTTTGCTCTAATGTTTCAAATAATGTAATATTTAAAAGAAGAACAATCATTTTAAATCGTAAGCTATATTACATTTGCCTGCTTTCTCTTCCTTGTTTATGAGAAAAGTAGTCTGGCTAGATTTAAATAATAATAATAATAATAATAATTATTATTATTATTATTATTATAACATTTCTATGCCGCCCCTTGCCGAAGCCTCGGGGTGGCTTACAACACAATAAGATACA